AATCAACATCCTCAAGCTGGACGTACCCCTTGTCAACCAATCTGACTTTGTACCGAATATCCCCAATAGAAGATCCCTCTTTTTTTACATATACCCACTTGCATCCAATAGTCTTCTTTCCCTTTGGTAGCTTTGCAAGTTCCCAAGTATCGTTCTTCTGAAGAGAGTGTATCTCCTCCTCCATAGCTTCCCTTCACCTGATTGAATCAGAGCTAGACTCTGCTCCACCTGATTGAATCAGAGCTAGACTCTACCTCCATATATGTAGAAGGAACCTGTAGGCTGTCTAAAAATCACAATAGATAGCTTATCCCCCACGTGTGTCAACATCAAAACGTCGGGGTCGAACCCGCGTTACAACATCAAAACGTCGGGGTCGAACCCGCGTTACAACATCAAAACGCGAGGGTCGAACCCACGTTACAACATCAAAACGCTCGGGTCAAACCCGCGTTACAACATCAAAACGTCAGGGTCAAACCCGCGTTACAACATCAAAACGCTGGAGTCGGACCCGCGTTACAACAAGCGAAACGTGAGCGACCCTCACGTTCTGGATGTTCAGTCAACACCCAACCTCGCGTCTCAATCCTAAGACGCGAGGTTAGGGTCCTGAACGCCAGGTTGGGCGTTTGACTCATTCAAATATGAGTCGAACGGTTTTAGAACCGTTTTCCCCACGATTTTAGGAAATCACGCCCACTTAGGAGCGAATTTAGAGGGCAGTTACACCCCCTTAATCCCCTATAAAAGTGAGTAAACTCAACTGAGTTCAAGGTTGGAATTTCTGGGCTCAGATCGACCACTGAAGGCTAGCATTTTTTCGGATCTGGGACTTGGCAGCAGAAGAGATCGACATTCATCTTTTGGGATCAGTCCTGAGAGTCTTCGGCCTTGGCTTGGAAACTGATTCTCGGTTCAATTTAACTCTTTTTCAAGAGTTTCCAACTCGTGCAGAGTTATCAACTCATCCAGAGTTCTAAAACTTGCCACGCAAGTTCTCCACAACGTCAAATCGTGAGGAGAAGACATCGTTCCAGTGAATCAAGACGGTCGGATCGTCAACGGAGAGCAAATTCGATGCGAACAATCGAAGGAGGCACTCCATCGCTACCTTGAAGTACCCAGTTTTAAACAAAGGAGAGAACCAAATTCGTTTTCTTCTCTTTTGTAATCAAATTGTAATCAGAATCAAAGGAATACAAGTCAATTTTCTTTGTTCTCTTCTTTGCAATTTTCCCTACACGACCTCCACTAATAAAGCATATGCAACCAACACATCACTGTATCTAGCTGGCCGACGAATCACCCTTCTAGGTTTATTTGCTGCAATCGACTCCTGAACATGACCCTGTCCTGAGTCTCACCAACCACTGTATCCTCTAAATGCTCGTTTGTCATCACATCTCCTCCCATTGTCATCTCTGTAGGAGCCTCAATGGATACAATGCTATCTGGAGTGGGTGGAGTCACATCATCCTCCACCTGCAGCGATATCCTACTAGTCTGGTATTCCTCCACCTGTTGAGGGACTTGAGGCCTCATCATGTATGCCTCATCAAACGTAACATCTCTGCTAATGACTATCTTCTTATCCTGTGGATCCCACAATTTGAAGTCTTTAACTCCTTCTCTAAAGCCGACAAAGACTGCTTTTCTCACCCTCGGATTTAATTTTCCATCATTAACATGATAATAAGCTGGACACCCGAATATCCGAAGTAACTCATAGTCACTAGCCACAGAACTAGACCATAGCTTCATAGGAGTCTTCCCATGTATTGCAGTGCACGATAACCTATTCACGAGATGACTCGCATAAACCAACGCCTCGGCCCAAAAGGATCTCGACAATCCACTCTGTGACATCATACATCGCACCTTCTCCAGCAAAGTACAGTTTAATCTCTTACCCATCCCGTTTTGTTGTGGTGTCTCTCGAACTATGAAGTATCGCCTAATGCCCTGATCTCGATAAAACTACAGAAATGGATCACTATTATACTCTCAATCATTATCTAAACGAAGTGTCTTTACCTTTCTACCTGTCTGCAGCTCCCCTTTCTTCTTCCAATCTACAAAAATATCCACGACCTCATGTTTATGCTTCATAGTATATACCTAATTTCTCCTAGAATAGTCATAAATAAAAATGACAAAATAGTTGGTCCCACCAAGTGATGTGTACTCGGAAGGGCCCCAAACATCTATGTGAATATAATCCAATATACATTGGGTGTTGTGAATTACGGTGCCAAAATTCACTTTAGTCTTCTTTCCAAGTACACAATACTCACACAGCTCCATCTTGCAGGACTTTGTACCTTTCAATAGTCCCTGTTTCGTCAATGTTTGCAGGGACTTATCATCAGTGTGTCCTAATCTTATGTGCCATAAGCTGATAGTATCCTCCTCTATAGTGATAGAAGCTACCAGACCCCTGTACTGTCTTACCATTCAAATAGTATAGGTTGTTTTCCCTGACAACTTACATCACCACCATAGACTATTTTGTGACCTTTAAAGTGGTATTCTCTAAGATCACACAATAGCCTGCTGCCTCCAAAGTCCCAAGAGAAATGATGTTCTTCGTCAACTATGGAACGAACATCACTTCCTTTAGCTCTCTAGTCACCCCGTCACACATCCTGATCCGGACTGTACCAATACCACCAATACGGCATACGTGATCATTACCCATAAACACGGCATCCCCTCTTTCCAACTCCTCAAAGCTGGAGAACCAATCTCTCCTAGAGAAAATGTGATATGTAGCACCCGAATCCAACATCCACTCCGTAGAGTCAGCATAGCAAACTGATAGTAGTGCAGAGCAAGAGTTGCCCGAATTAAAGAATCCGAATCTGAATTATCGCCAATAGCCTTGGCAACATTCACCTCTGGAGCTTGTACAACTTTCCCCTTGTTCTTCCCGGCTTTATCCTTCAACTTTGGGCATTCGTTCTTCCAATGTCCTTCTTCTTAACAAAAGACGCATTGATTTTTACCAACACTCTTATAGCCACCTCTATTCTTCGACTTTGAGCGGTTGAATTGGTGGCAGTTTGGACTACGGTCTCGAACTGCTAATGCATCTCCTGATGCTTTCTAGGAGGGTTCTCCATCACTCTTCCTCAACTCATAGTTTACCAATACCGAGGTCACCTTCTTGTAGCTAACAGTAGTTCTTCCATTGATCATAGTGAGAAGAAAGGTACCATAATCATCCTCCGACAACGAACACAATAGCAACATCGCATTCTCTTCATCCTCAATCATGATGTCCATATTGGCCATATCCGAAAGTAACTTTATAAAGTTATTAACATGCTCTCTAATGGAAACCCCCATTTTCATCTTGAATTGGTAAAATCTTTTCTTCAAGTGAAGCCGATTCTTAATGCTTTTCGTAAGATACTTCTCATTGAGTGTTTCCCACAATCTCTTCGTCGACGTCTCGTTTATCACATCATAAATCAAATCCGGTGTCAAGCATGACCGAATAACCCCACATGCTCTACTATTTAACTTCTTCTAAACATTGTCCTCCATGTATTCAGGTTTCTCTTGTAATTCAAGAATCTTCTCCAAATTCTGGGCATCCAACGTATCCATCACCTGATACCTTCACAAACCAAAATTAATCTTGCCATCGAACTTCGGAACATCAATATTTGTGTTATTGATGCTCAGACTTTGTATCGCCTTCGAAAGGGACGATCCCGATGTGCTTGCTTCACCCATGTTGATGATCTAACTCTTCAAATAAGAATCCTTCAGAGAATCCTCCAAACGAGCCCTAAGCCAAACCCGAAGCTCTGATACCACTTGTTATGCGGAGCGGAAGTCGAAACACACGAAAGAGCACGAACAAGAACGAGATAGATCACAACCAATAAGTAAAATACAATCACCACAGCAAGACAAACGAATTTTACATGGTTCGACAAGTTGCCTATGTCCACGGGGCAGGGGGGAGTTTTTATTATTAGAGATAAAGAGAATACGAAAAATCGATTACAGGGTCCGCGGTCGACCGTACTTGACGTCGCGGTCGACCGGCCAGACTTCCGAAAATACACCTTGTAGTGTGCACGTTTCCGGTCGACCACCACTTGTCTCGTGGTTGACCGAACAACACCTAGACTGTTTCCTGCTTTGTTTTTCCTGAACTTCGTCGTCGTTTTCGTCATTTCTACACTTAATGTTTGATCTGTTATATTATGCTCTTTTTTTCTTAAAAGAATGGTTTCTAAGGGGGAAAGCCTATTTAAAACTACAAGACATAACTGTTTTGGAATTCTTCGTGAATCTTTCCAAGGATTCATTTTTTTTTAATCTACGAAAAAATTTGTATGTCATTACACAAGATAAGGAGAAAATTTTATCGTTTAGATTTGATTTTTTTATTTATAATATGGAATATGTCTAATCTACTAATTAAAATGGTGTAGGTGTCTTGTAAGAGTCGCAAATCGATGTCGTAACATGGAATTTGATTCTTTAAACATAAGTTGGACCACGTGAGAGATTCTAACTTGAAGAGTTCATTAATGGAAAAGAAAGAAAAAAACATTTAATTAAAAATGAATTTCACCAGACCCCCTGAAGTTTGGGTTATTGAGTTGCACCAATCCTCTTAATCAACTTTGAGAATTCCATGCACGTACTAAAATCCCTAAACTTTTGGAGAATTCAACAAAACCCGTATGAGCTTTGGAAAGAAGGGTTACACAAATTATATAATTTTTTTGCCCCCAGAATAACACGTCCCTGTCAAAATTATTTGAAGCCATGAGTAGCAAAATTATCAACTTAATTGGGTCACATTTGCAGTACAAGCATGACTTGCGATTAACAGCCTTGGTCATGATAGCAAAGTTGGATGGATAAGTTTAGGGAGATTTCTTTAGTTCACAAACTTCAGAGGGGCTTTCTACATTTCACCCCCAAAATTTGGGGTCGTCTTGTGAAATTTACCATTTAATGCTACAAGTTGATTATAAATAGACCTCCTATGCTACTCTTAAGTATGCACCAAACTCTTTACAGCAACGGCTCATCTTGGAGATTAGCGATTAGGTTTAAGATCTAGGAAAATGGTGAGATTCTCTCTCTCTCTCTCTCTCTCTTGTTCCTTGTTCTCTAAAGTTCATAGATAATTAACACTGATTATATATAGCTAATTATTTGAATTTTTTTTCACTGTTGTTGTTTTTAGGCTTGCTTTTGGGAAGGAGATGATGACAATTATGTGAATGGACCGAGAGGATGTGGTGGAATTACTGGATGCGGTGGTGATGGTGATAAACCAAACCCTCCACCAGGAAGCTATTAATTAATTATTATAATCACTGAACGGAGATCTATCCATCACTCATCATGATGACATGCATGCATGAGTTAGAGAATAATATGAATAAGTACCATGGATGATGCATCATGCATGGGGCATGGGTGTTCTTCTTTAAGTAGTGGCTGTCAGTGTTCTGTGGGTCCAGTGTTTATTAGCATGCAGTAGTAGTGTACTGTGTCGATGGATTGTGAGCGGCTTGTTTGCTTGCTCTCGGTTATCCTACATGTTGTGTTATATTTTAGCACTTCATCAGTATCCATGATCTGAATAATAATCGTGCTTTCAAGGTCCAGAAATTACTGTTCAAGCTTCCCATCATTTCTATTTCTTTTTGCTCTTGGCGTTTAGCTACTTAATTACCCAATTGGGTCTTTCCGTATGTAAGAGGCACCTCATATATTGTTCCTCTGAACCATTGAGGGTTGTTTCCTCTCAAGGAATGCTAATTATCGACGCACCCCGATGTCGAGGGAATTATGTGAGATTTTATAGCGATAACAATAATAATAAGTTCAAGGTGTCATGAGCGAGAACCCGACAAAGTTTAGGGTGGTTTTGTGAAATTAACCCTATGAAATTTTAAAAGAAACAGGTTCCAAGAAATCCCTTCGTCTGTACCTGTTTTTTTTTCAAGAAGCCTCATTGTCTATTGTACAGTTCGACTACAAAAAAAGAAAAGAAAAAAGAAAAAAGAAGCATTAGTTCATAATTGTATCCATTTTAAACAGAATTGTAACTCTCCTCTACTAGGAAAAAAAGATGATAGTATCTAACATTAAAAACAAGCATAGTGGGGGAACTTCGAAGTGTAAAATTGATTACATCTTAACGTATCATTTGGGCAAAGTTAAACTTCGGGGCGTCAAAATTAAAAATTGATAAAACTTTAGGATATCAAAGTGCAATTAACTCTTTCTTTTCTCGATAGATAAGTATTAAGGTCGCAATATACCACGGCCTCCAGAGTATTTTCTATTAATTACCGGACAAACACCACAGTAAACTGTACCCGGCCTTTACACAGTCTGCAAGTGCAGTAAAGCAAAACAAGCTCAGGTAATTAAGGTGATGCAGATAAAATAAACAGCATGCAGATAAACTCATCTCCCTTAACTTAAACCACATAATATAGACCGCAAGTATTAACAAAATAATAACAAATAAGGAAGCAGATCACAAAGTCTAGGCTCCATCCTTCACAGATAGTATCAACATGAATCCCTTAGCTAGGCAGGGTTTGGTGGAGCCTGGGACTGGGACATGATTTGGGACCCGGATTAGGTGACAATTTTAAACCAAAGCCCAAAGCAAAACCCAAAAAAGCACCTCTAAATAGTCACAATTACAATTGTAGCAGCTTTATCACTCCTTAATTTGTCAGTAGCATCACCATCACCTGAAGCAGTTTTCCTCTGAAAGGTTCCTCACAGCAACTCCTCTCCGTTTCCTCCCATAACAACTACAAAGCAACACGTTACTGCTCAGTCAAACTTGCAAATTTTTGTTCAGGCATATTGATTAGAAAAAATTGCTACTTTCTAATGTTTTATAAATATCTCTCAGTATCAGGTTATAAATTTCACCAACCCCCTTAAGTTTGGTCATTTTGAGATAAACCCTAAACTTTAGAAATGTCAATTAATCCCCTTAAGTCTTGTCAAATAACTCCTCAAACTAACACCGTCAGATATGATTGTGCATGTGAATATCACATGTGACCAAATGAAAAAAATTCTTTTCATGTCATTTTTAATAATTAAAAGTAATATTTGCAATCATTTGAGTAGGGAATTTTGGTCTTTTTATGTTAGATCTAAACCAAAACTTGAGATCTAAAACCATATAGCCATGATTAATTCGAAGAGATTAACAATAATCAAAAGAGTGCGGAAGATTATACCTGAATCCATAGAAAAAATCTTGATTTGGGTTTCAATGATCTTCTAACATTAGGGTTTTCTCTAAATCCGAATTTCTCTCTCTAGATGGGGGTGAAGAGAATTAGAGAGTGTTACCCTAGATTAGGGACCATAACCCCTTATTTATAGATGTTGTACTTTTGTAATTTAGCCCCTCAATAAATCATAATTACAACTTGGTATCTGCACATATAACCCCATGATTATATTTAAATACCCATTAACCCAACTTAATTGATCACTTTTGTGGGTTATCCTGAAAGATAGCAATACACATTGATTAATCATATGTGCCCACAAATAGATTTATTAGATTAAATCCAACAATCTCCCACTTGGGCACCATATGATTCCTTAAATTGTGTATAACCTTATGAGCTCAAAAATTACTATCACTGAAAAGGTATTTCCGAACAATCTCGTCCATTAACTATATCAATATAGGATCAAAGCGGCCTTCGTCACATTTATCGTGACTCGACCCATCAATGGTCACATATACCAATACAATCAAACGACATAGATCAATCATGGATGTGCAGCATGAAAATTACATGCAATGTGATCAGTACATGTCTATTTTCAACTGGTCCTCCTTAGTGAGGTCAAAACCAAACATAATGTAACAGAGTGTCTTAACTGAATACTTTATTCTGATCAGACAATACAACCAAACATAAAGCACCACAATTACAAACTCCCACTAAAACATAATATCCTCAAATAATACCACACCCATATGAGCAGTATGCTCATGAAAGACCTTAGGTGGCAGTCCCTTAGTAAGAGGATCAGCTATCATGGAGTTTATCCCAATGTGCTCTATAGATATTTGTCTACTCTGTACCCTTTCTTTCACAACCAGGAACTTAATGTCAATATGTTTTGACTTAGTTGAGCTCCTGTTGTTATTGGAATACATTACTGCAGATTTATTATCACAATATAACCTTAGTGGTCTTTTAACATTTTCCAAAATGCGCAGTCCTGTGACAAAATTTCGCAGTCATATTCCCTGATTGGATGCCTCATAGCAAGCTACAAATTCTGCTGCCATAGTGGAGGAAGCTACTAGTGTTTGTTTGACACTTTTCCATGATATAGCTCCTCCTGCTAACATATAAATGTAGCCTGATGTAGACTTCCTGCTATCTTGGCATCCAGCAAAATCAGAGTCCGAATACCCAATGACCTCTAATTTTTCTGATTTTCTGTATGTGAGCATGTAATCTTTTGTTTTCTGAAGATACCTCATAACCCTTTTGACTGCTATCCAATGATCCATACCAGGGTTGCTTAAGTATCTGCCTAACATCCCAACAATGTACGCAATATCCGGACGCGTACATACCTGAGCATACATTAGACTTCCTACAGCCGAAGCATAAGGAATCTTCTGCATTTCCTGAATTTCAAGGTTACCTTTAGGGCACTGATTGAGACTAAACTTGTCTCCTTTAGCAACAGGGGTGTCACCTGGTCTGCAATCTTGCATGCCAAACCTTTTAAGTACCTTATCGATATAGCTCTTTTGTGATAATCCAATAATACCCCGAGAGAGATCTCGATGTATCTGGATCCCTAATATAGAAATCTCTTGGTTTCGTGCAACATGCCTATATCATTAGTGGCAAGCAAGATGTCATCGACATACAGAACCAGAAAAATATACTTACTCCCACTGAACTTGTGATATACACAGTCATCAACAATGTTCATCTCAAAACCGAACGAGATAACTATTTGTTGAAACTTATGATACCATTGACGAGGAGCTTGCTTGAGTCCATAGATGGATTTCCTTAATTTGCAAACCATATTCTTTGGGTCTCCTGACACAAAGTTTTCTGGTTGCACCATATAAATCATCTCATCAATGTCTCCATTGAGAAATGCAGTCTTAACATCCATCTGATGTAACTCAAGATCATAATGAGCAACAAGTGCCATGATTATTCTGAAAGAGTCTTTCGATGAAACCGGAGAGAAAGTCTCTGTATAATCAATGCCTTCCTTTTGAGTATAGCCTTTAGCCACAAGACGTGCCTTATACATCTCCACATTACCGTTTGCATCCCGCTTGGTTTTAAAAATCCATTTACAACCAATTGGTTTTGCACCTTCTGGTAATGGGACAAGTTCCCAAACCTTATTGTCTTGCATAGACTTGTACTCTTCATTCATGGCATCAATCCACTGTTGAGAGTTAGAACTTTTCATGGCCTGAGAGAAGTTGATTGGATCATCTTCTAACATTCCACTACTTTCCTCATGTTCTTGGAGAAATACAATATAATCATCCGGAATAACATTTCTCCTTTCTCTCGTGGATCTCCTTAATGGCACTGGTTCTTGAGGTTGTTGAGTTTGTTCTTCTGGAACAGGGAGTTGTTCAACATTATCATCTTGAGGTTCCGGATTTACTTCTTGAGCAACAACAGGTATAGGAACCTGAATATTGTCAAAAGTAACTGTATGGATTGGATCTGAAGCCAATTCCTCCTCAAAACTAATGTCTCTAACCTTATTTCTCCCTCCAAACTCAACATCCTCAAAGAATGTTGCTGTTCTTGTCTCAAAAATATTCCTTATAGTGGGATCATAAAACTTATAGCCCCTAGAGCGTTCAGAGTATCCAATAAAGTAGCTGCTAACTGTTTTGGAGTCCAATTTCTTTTCATTTGGCCCATAAGGCCTTGCCTCTGCTGGACATCCCAAATATGTAAATGCTTTAAACTGGGCTTTCGACCAGTCCAAAGCTCATAAGGTGTTTTAGTAACTGCTTTACTTGGTACTCTATTCAGAATGTAAGCTGCTGTCTTAAGTGCTTCTCCCCAGAGTGACTCTGGTAAAGAAGAATGAGCAATCATACTTCTTACCATATCCTTAAGAGTCCTGTTTCGTCTTTCAGCTACACCATTCATGCTAGGTGAACCCGGCATAGTGTACTGTGGGACGATACCGCATTCCTCTAGGTATCTAGCAAATGGTCCTGGACGTTGTTCACCTGAACCATCATATCTACCGTAGTACTCACCACCACGATCAGATCTGACGGTTTTAATTCTTCTGTTGAGTTGATTCTCAACTTCAGCTTTATAGGCTTTGAACATGTCCAGAGACTCAGATTTTTCATGAATAAGATATAGGTGCCCATAACGTGAGTAATCGTCTATGAATGATATAAAATATTGTTGACCATTCCAGGATTCCGTAGGGAATGGCCCACAAATATCCCTATGTATTAATTCTAAGACATCCGAAGATCTGTTGGCACATAATCTCTTCACTTTGGTCTGTTTTCCCTTGATACATTCAACACATACATTGAAGTCCGAAAAATCAAGGGAATCTAAAATACCATCAGACACAA